TCTAATACCGAACCAGCCATTTGCCACTAAAACTATGTGAAATAGGATATAACCAGCCCTAGAATTCTATCGTCTTTGCTTTAAATGTTTAGAAATCTGCAATTTATTGTTAATCAAACTAACCTTAAAGTCATCATTGGCAGACTCTCAGCTTTTCTAAGAATTTGACTTTTTAAAGTCAAAATTATGGCATATAGTTCTAAAAATATTAAATGAACAAGGAAATAAAGGGAGAAATGCAAGAAATAAGAATCTCAAAAGTAGAGTTATGTCCCTTCATCTTTCATTTTCACTAGAAATCTCTCGGTTCTGATTTTAGTACCCCTGCTTACAAACAAGGGGGAGAAGGCTGTGGTGGTGGGATGCCCGGATGTGGAGGGCACATTGTTGTCTATTAGTGGAATCAACTCTTTCAGCTGACAAAGACAACAACCAAATCTTTAGATGGTTTATTTTATCTGTGTGAAAGAGTGGCAGTGGGATTTCTGGCACTTGAATAAGCGGAAACAATATTTTTGGCTAGAGAGACTTCTGAGTTCTCTCAGGGAGCCTTCTAGAAGGCCATCTGGACCAAACAGTATCTCTTTTGTAAAGCCCTGCACTTGGAAACACAAACGAAAGGTGTGTGAGCCGCAATCAGATACCTATGAAAATAACTGGCTTTCAATATTGTGGGGGGGGAGGGGAGGCATTATTCTTTGTAGTTTTCTAGATGAAAAGACTTACATGAGGAAAAAAACTCTCACTTTCTTTTTTCTTTCTTTATTAAGATATAAGTTCCTAATTTTATATTCCAATAGAGGACTTACTTATTAATGTAAACTTACTAATTTGAATTATTGTTCTCCCATGAGTGAAATTAGAATGTTTCAGTTATGTGTGATGTTTACAGTTGTTATGTCAGGTCGTGAACTTGTTTTTGACCTTCATAATTGTTAATTGAACCTAGATTTTAAAGATGAACGCTTCCCTTTCCTTGGTTTTTAGCCAGCTTATGAAGCTATAAAAAATGAAAAATACTGGAAAAGTTAAATGAAATCCTTCCAAAACCAAATAAAGCACGTACAGCAATGATATGAGTAAAACAGAGTGCTTGGAAAACGGAAAATGAAGCAAAGCCATATTTGAAGCCAGATACTGCAGAAATATGAATATTCTAGCAAAGTACCTTTAAAAATCTATCACATGGAATATATTTTGCTCTACTTTCACATTTTCTGTTACAGTCTCCATTTGGAAAGAAATGGTAAATTCTTATATTACGATTTCCTGGCATTAGCGATCATTTAAAAAAAAAACTATTTCCTTTAGCTGTCATTTTTGCCCAAGAAGTGATGAATATGGAAAGAGAAAAAATTTAGCACTGAGTTTATAATATAGACATGAAGAAATACACAATATCACATATACATGAATGTATATATATTGTATAAATATGTATATACAAATTATATTTACATTGATATCAACTAATATTAACTAAGTATTTGCTTGAGATGTTTTCATTTCAATGATCCAATTTTCATACTACATACAATTCTTAGTTCATAAAAAAAAAGAACTGTTAAAATAATTTTTTAATAGCAATACTAAATTCAGTTCCAAATGGAGAATTTTCAAATACTGGAATCACCATTATTATGAAAAAGTGAAATTAACTTTTAAGAAAATCTTTTATAAATTTAAAACAAATCACATGGAAATGATTTATCCTGGCTAAAGTATTTTACCCAATAATTCAAAGCTGAAATAATGACATGCAGGTTGTATTTCAAAACATTTTTCTGGAAAGATAGAAGAATCAAGTTTGATTAATATTGGGGATATATACCTCACAACTGATATCAGCTAAATTAGAAATATTTTGGCTTATGGGAATTAAAATAGGAGCATAGAATATGTAGAATGTTTAAACTTTTTCCAACAGATTTTAATAACAGAAGATGACCTCAGGTCCCTAATGTCAATCTAGAGCCTAATTCTTATAGTGGGGACTGTTGTGCCAGCAAAATTCTTAGCCTATAAATATCTTTAGTTTCCTGAAACAAATATCATTACCCGCCAAACAGTGACAGATTATTTAAGCAGATTATTATTTTTTTAATGTATTTTTCACCCGACACTAGACTAATGGCATCAAACGTGACTTCTTTAGGACTTGTAATTTAAAAAAACCAAAATTCCTGTGATACCAAAGACGGAACCCAAATAATTTATCTACTCATGATATAAGTATTCCCATGAATTTCGTTATTTGGAGGGAACAGGAAGAAAAGGTAGAACTTTTATTCTTGAATAATAATTATAATAATAATTATTGCTATAGAAAACACAAATGACCCAGCATTAACTGCGAACTTCAGCTATACCTTTGGTCTTAGAGCAGAATATAATTTGAAAAAAGGGGAGCAGGAAGTAGAGAAAGCAAAGATATATAATTTTGCCTTCTTGGGTCACTTCTACTTAAAAACGTTACTTGAATGAAATTTTCATCAGGGGGGAAAAAAAGGCCTTTTAGAAATTTATAAGTGTCTCACCAGGACACAAACCATCAGTTCCCCATCGTTGACAGAGTCACCTGTGCTTTGGACAAAGTATCCAAGGGTGTATGTTTTCATCAGTGATTCACATTTGAAATAAAACAGATTAGATGTTTGTTGGAAGCGATACTTTATACAACTGAGCAATCTATTTATACTAAATCTTTACAAACAGAACCCACATTATTTAAACCCCAAGACCCCTCAAGACCCAGAGTTACCTACCTGCAGACCCAATTTTTGTGACCAGCCAATTTATAGGCAAGTGAAAGAAACATTCGAACTGGATAAAATAACCATATGTCCCCACTGGAAGCCCCATTACTTGAATCATTTAAACCTTGCTGGACAAAGCACCAGGAGAATTTGCTGTAGGAAACAAACCTACACGAATGGGGCAGGGAAGAAATGACCTAATGCTTAGTCTGCCTTCTGCTCTAATTTCTATGGTTCTGTGTTAAGAAAAGCTATCCTGCAACACTGTTGTGAAAGCTTATGCCCCAACAAGAGGACATTTCTTATTTCAAAAAAAAAAAAAACAAAAACAGTTCAGAATTTAACATTTAAGTTGCCATCATCAAAAGGCAAGGACACTTTAAGACAATTTTCCCTGGAAACAACACTTTCAAGATACAATGGAAATGTGTGGTTTTTTTCTTCATTCAAGAACTTAAATGCCAGTAAAAGAGTATATTTCTAGTTTGAGTTTTGTTTGCTGGCTACTGAAATTTAGGGTAACTTCTCCCACACCCCTAGCTGCTTACAATGCCAAGTGGCATCCTTTGATGTTATCCAATGTGAAACCCTGTGTCGATGTTTAATGGAGGCAGTGTTGGCCCAGACTGGAGCTCTGCTTGGTCCGCCTTGATGGTCCATATCCCGCCTCAGTTTATTATTTCAGTAGGAAGTATTTATCACATGCATATCCTCAGCTGGCATATGGTGTACACAGAGGTGTAGAACATTTAGTGAGTGCGCAGAGGCAAGCATGAAGGAGAGGGGAGTGGATGGTTATTTGCATGTATGAAAGAAAAAGTATATGGCTCTTCTCCCTAGGTAAATATCTATGTTTATTCAAGGAGGATCTGGATTTTTGGGTCAAGATACAGAAATGGACACAGAACACAGTGTCAGCTTAAAAATATTTTTCTATGAACAGCAATGTTTTTCCGATGGCCACTATTGATTTGAAATGAAAGGATGCTATTTATCCTGAAAGTGGTATAAGTCCAAATGGGATGTTTCCAATATCACCTATTCTGCCTTTTGATTTTCAGTGGAAGTTTGTGCAACAATGAGTGTGCGTGTGTGTGAGGGTGAGCAGGTGTGCATGGTCAGAGTTGAAGGCAGGTATCCATAGAGAGAGGAAGGGAGTGACCCATTTAATAGTGTTACCTACTTTCCCAAGTCCTGGGATTTTCAGGTGTTTTTATGGCCAGTGAAAAGTGCAAGCAACACTTCTCACATTGATGTTACCAGTTCACCACTGACCACCAGTTCTTTTCTTTTCCTTTTTTTTTTTTGTAGGGGGAACTAACATTTAAAGCCTTAATAATGTTTCAACATTCTTTCTCCCCTAAGTACTTTTGCATGATAGGTATCAAGACTTCACTCCTTATGTAAGTCACAAGGCCGACTTTAGATATTACCTCTAGGATAGATTTATAAATGCAACGTCCCCCCCCATCCTCTTAAAAAGAGGCAAACGGTATTATTGCAAATAACCTTTAAGATAATTAACTGACAATGCTGCAACTAGCATAAAATCTTCCTTCAGGCGACACCTAATTTAAGTGTTACTGGCACAAAGTGGAGACAGATTGCGCATCACCACTGCAATATTTACATAGCAGAAACCCACAGAGCAGGAAACGCGAGGCTCAATGATGCACTAAATTAGGAACAACCGTACTCCAGTGTTAATTTGCTTTCCATTCTATCCAAATCTCAGGTCCAGAAATTGGTACCAACATATATACAACCTCCCACTCCTAAATGACTAAACCGGAGGAGATTTTTGTACTTTTTCCCCCCTAAATTAAAATAACTTGAAATTTATTTCTTTTCTCCACAAGAACCATTTGATCAAACTGTGTTTATTTCATTACAACTTGTTCTCACTTTGATCTAAAATTATTTTCATATGAATGCTGCATCGGAGTCTACAGAGAAAAACTAAACAGATTTCTTCTATTTTCTCAAAGGCTGCCAATATAGTTTATGAAAAGAATAAAATGAGAGGCTTGAGAGCTAGTTAGTGAAATATTTAAGAACATGGAAGGGCAAATTTACTTTAAGTGAATTTCTCACTGATGAATGTTGTCCCCTCAACTCCACGCACACACTCCTCCCAAAAATACAGTAAGTCTTTTAAAATCACTCAAACAATATTTTCTTTTTCATTCTTCCCCACAGTATTTTAAACACCAGTTTCATCCAAGGCATTAACAAAACATTTACCTTTCCTAATTGTTGATGTTCTTTAAAGGCAGCAATCAGTTCTTCAGCCCACTTAATCTTTTCAGGGGAAGGAGAGAACTGCTCCTGGACCACTGCAATTTGGTTAGGGTGTATCACCTGCTTACCTACAAGAAGATTAATAACACCGGAAACACAAAACAACAAACAGATGTTCAAACAAAATGTCTCAACCACTCGAGGCTCCTGAATGCCTCCCAGACTGTATGTAAAATAACTAATTATTTTAGAACTGTTTTAAAAGAAAATAACCTCTATCGGGCAGGCTTTTCCAGAATGCCACATAAGAACAAATACTACAATGGGAGTAATTGTGCTTCTGATCCTATAGAAATGCCACCTTAGTGCAGATAATCGCTCATTTCTAGTTACAGGTGGATTGACCACACAGCTCACTGAATGACTGCTTTGGCTGGAACTTTAAAAGATAATGTCTGCCAATTAGAGTGATGATTTTGAGTTAAAGTAGAAAAAAATCATATGTTAATTCTTTCAGATTTTCTAAATTGTCTGTTGATTATTTTGTACCATTATCCCACCTTCCATGATTTCTTTTAGAAGTGGTCTGTTGGTTTTCATAAAGCTCACAGAAGCAGGCATTACAACTATATTAATATCAAAGAGTGTCTTACAATAATGTATTTAATTTTCTTTCTTTTAGATGAATATAGGGTGCCATTTCTAACCAATAACAGAAAATTGGATTTCAATGAAAAAATTTTATTTAATACAGTAAAAGTAGAAGGCAGATTTGAACACTGTGGTCTCTAAATTACTCCATTTAAAAATGTTTAAATAAAAATTACAGAAAGTTTCTCTATACAAAAACATAACCAGATTTTCCCTTTTTGATTATGGAATGAAGATTGGATATTTCCCTCTTATATAGATACTTAGACACCCCAGAATAAATCTTATCTCTATAGTAATAGCTTTAAAAAAGCTTTATGCTTCTTTTTGAAGTTTAAAGATCTTAAATAAAAACATTATACAAAGATAAGAGTCACAGGATTCTATGAAATCATGCAGTCATTAAAAAAAACAATTGAACAGGGAAGAGTAGAATCTAATCAGGTCATTAATAAAATGCAACATAATTTAATGTTATAATAATGATGAGATTATATTTTATTACATGATAAAATTATCAACATATTTGGTTCTTTAAAAATGAATATACACAATGATAATTTACTCTGCTAAATATTATTATTGGTATATCAATTTGCTTTGCTTTTGAAATAGTTGTTTTAACATTTAGCCAGTACAAATTATATTCTTGATGTTTTAAAAAAGGTCAGTTCCTGTGACTGTCATAATTCTATCAAATAGAAAAAAAACAATATTTGTAAAAATATATAGTTTTTAGTATTTTATGAAAAAGAATTGAAGTGAATAAGTATAGCAATATCTTTTCTTACAGTGGCATAATTAAAATATCCTCACATTGCTACTTCATTCTTCTGTCAGCATACTAATAAAACGTTAAAACCCTATATAAATAAAGATGCTTTAAATTATTTGAGGAATAATTTCTGAAAACAAATAACATCAGTGATGACAAATGAGAGCTTTTTTCAATAGTAGGTATTGAAATTATATTTAATTAATCTAATAGTTGTTACAATATTATTACTAAAGGATATCAGTTCTGGTAGTCATTTTGTACTAATTGTTAGTTCTGAATTTTATAATTTATATACATAATTTACACTGATACATAAAAAGCCAGATTTCATGGGAACTTCTTGGTACAAACACTATAATTTCAGGAGTAAAACATAAACTATTTAAAATACTATGAAACTACTGATGGCTTGCAAGTACCCATATTTTGGTAATGAGGTTAATTTTAAGTTACGTGTTAGGTTTTGGAAATTTATGAACATCCATATGTGAAGTTATCCTTTGTCGAATCTTACATATCCCAACAACTGAACATCAGACTTTAATGCTACGTGGGAGCGAAGAAAATATTTTATACAGAAGAGTTGTTATTGACAAGTTACTGAGAGGGTGCAAAATTGGAAGACATTAAAATTTATGACCATGAAATCCTTTTTACAGTACCACTTGATATATCGGGCTTTAAATCAATACCTGTCAAGTCTTTTAGGTAACTGTATGATGGTGTCATTTTTGTCTTCTACAAAAGACTGCAAAAAAGAAGAAAACCTATAGTGCTTCATATTTATAATCTTTCTTCTCAGCATGCAGTACTGGAGTAACTGTGATGACTAAGTCAGCTGTTAAAGCTTTATTCCAAGATTTATTTTTGGTTTCTTTTTATAAAAATAATTCCTAAAGCTAATAGCCATTTATACAGCCAATGCAGTTAATTTAAAATCAACCTGTATGGATTGTGGCCCCGTGAAATAATGACTGCAGAAAAGAGACTATAACCCACTATTTGATGCATGGCTAACTTTTAAAAAACTACAACTCATTAAAAAATGTATAATTTTTAAAAGGACAGAAAATCCGTATAGCACAGATTGAGTGTTCCTTATCAGTGTTACGGATAACACAATACTTTGATTAGATTTCAAACTTTTCAACCAACCACCTGCTTCAGATAGAGTGTGTATCCTTCCCTCCTCCCCTCCCTCCCTCCATTCCTTCTCTCCTATCCTTCCTTTCCTTCCTTCTCGTGCAAAGCCCAAGGTATGGCAATTAAATGACAAGTAATTAGGAAAAACAGATCATGAGTGGTGTAAAATACTCATTAAAGCATTTATTATTTAAAAATACTACAAATAATCTTATATTTTATTATCAGACTAATTACCTTTTATTGGTATGTAGAAATATAATTGGGACAACAAAGACCTTCTTTCTAAAAAGTGCAAAATGGCTATGAAGTGTAGCTCCTTACTTCACTGACTTGTTCCCTTGTATATATAACGGGCACTTTATGCTCCGTGCCTCCCCATTCTCCTCCTGCTTCCATTTTGTTTGTGATTTAATACTCCCTGTTGTTGAGAAACAATAGTGCCAAGCCCATAAGCTCCTCATGCTGAGCTGGGCACAGTCTAGAAATTTAAATCTGATTTGAAATAACTTGTCTTCTGCGATTGAATTAGGGACCAATTTGATTCAGTCCTGTACCTTAGAGAAACTCTTCAACTCCCTTATAAGTTCTGGAGCAAACATTTACCTCAGAGGAAGCTGATGACACCCAGGTTATACTGAGTGATGGTGACAGAGGCCTGCATCAATTCAGTGTTTTCTATTTTTTATTGAATTAGTGCCCATTTCAGAGCAACATCTGGCTGCTTGGCAGCCAATGCCACACATTTTAGACCAACAACATTGGGGTCTATTAGATAGATTTCACGGAGTTTCTCTCCAACTTTTCCATTTGGGCCATGTCCTAACTGGTCGCTGGAAAGAGGCAGGCCACAGAAACAAGGACAAGCCCAGGGGTGGGGTAGAGGGACTCTTTTCTTTCTCAATCACTATTAAATATTTACTAATAATTTAGATGACTGAAAAATATTTCTCTATAAAAGATCACATTTATTTGCTTATTTATTTATTAAATTTGGGAGGATCACATTTTAACTCAAAAACATAAAAGCAAATGTTAGAGTTTTATTTAATTCTAATGTAACACTTAAAATTGTTTCTTGTCTTTTCATTTTATTTTGAGTTAAATCATCATCCATTAAGATTTCTTTTACATTTAAGGTCACTTTATGAAATGTTTCTTTCAGTAAACTCTAACTGGGCACATTTTAAAAATATTTACAAAAGGGAGCGCATGGATGCTTGTCTTTTTTCCTTATTATTTGGGTACATATCTTATTATTTGGGTACGTATGATATTCTTAGAACTTTCAGCGGAAGAACAAATAAGAATAAAAGACTTTATGGTGTTTTTTATCCACAGTTGCGTGTGTGTGCGTGTGCAACTGCAGACGTGTGTTTGCGTGTAGAATTCTATTGTAGTTTTTCAAAAAACAGAGTTCTGTTGCAAAAACACAATTTTCGGTTGCTCCCCAGTCTCTTGGGGATCTGAGTGATCAGGCACACCAATCAGCAGATCTCCGCCTGCGCTCCAGGACCGGACTGCTAGGGACCCACTGACCTTAGTGCCAGCCAATGCCCGTAGGTGTCGCCAGGTGCATAGACACTTTTTGGGAGGTGGGAGAGAAAGGAGGGGCTTGAAGTGGCAGTGGCAGAAGAACAGAAAACTAGCTAAGAGTGAAAAAAAAAATCAAAGAAAATATCACCAAAATTTTTCTTTGGAAATGAATTAGTATTTTGAAGATTTTAGGAAATTTTTCTTCTGTCCATCAACCCAAATTTTTATGGCAGCTCTCACTCAAAAACACTATAATAGCCTCATCCCTTCCCTTGGGTCAGCAAAAACTGCAACAAAATACTTAAGAGGACAGGAAGAAAAGGTAACTCATATAAAGAAAATAAAATGAGGGATCTGGTTTTTGACTCGCAGAGCCAAAGGAAAACACGACAATTTGTTTGGCAGGTTCTTGCACTGGATGGTTTTTTCAAATTTCAAATAGTGGAATAAGTGTATGAGATACCTGGTTACATTAGAACCACTAATTTCTAGTTAAATTGCTATTTTTCTGGAATGTTTGCTAATCTAGACACTGCTTTCTAAGGTATGGTCGAGAATCATACCAGTGAATCCCATCGCAGCTCCTTCTCTCGACTGCCTGAGAAGCCCCTCTCCATCTCGAAAGTCGATGTACACCAGATCTATGGCTTGTAGGCCAAAGGCCTTCGCTACAACAATAATCTTTTGTCGGGCGTAGAGAATATCTTGAGTTTCTTTACTACTTGTTGCACCTGAAAGTGAGATGTTGACAGAAAAAGACGTTAACTTCGGAAACTGAACCCAGGCATCTATTATAAAATCTCAGTCTGTAAAGACATCTATGACGTGCTGGGAATTGCTCCCCAGCAAAATGATGATTCAAATCTAAGGGAAGAGAGGGATATGTGGAGGCAGAGTTAAATCTCATATGTGTCTATTTATCTTGCAAGGTATCTTCCAGTATAATTACTTGCATGTGCACTAAGAAAAGGCCCTTCTCCCATCTCAGGAGACAGAATCACAGATGACTTGATAGGTGGTAAAGGACTCCTGGTATATTTTTCCTTCCTGGGATTGCTCAGAAAGTGTCAGTCCAAAGACAGCACCACAAAAGGCGGCCAAGCAGCTGTGTGAGGAAATGGTTAACTTCTCTCACTGAGCACAGAGTTTTGTCGTGTGTTGTGTGTTGCAGCTGCAGTGCCGTCCCCCCCTCCCCCGCCCCGTCTTAGCTGAGGTTCTGAGCTGAATACTGCAGCTTCAGGGTTTGCATGGAGCCATTGGGGAAATGGAAGGCACTCATTTTGAGAGAGGCCAAAAGTGTCCACTGAACTGTTGGATACACAGAAGTCTCCTGGAAAGACTAGTATTAAAATAAGTTCCTTTTTTTCACGGGGGGGCGGGGGTGGGTGGTGACACATGTCACTATTTATATTTGGGCCATGACGCTGCTCAGGGAAAGCACCTGTCTTCAGGTCACTGGGACTGTAGTTCTGAAAATGCTTTGTGGCCTTGGCCTCTTTTCTAGATGCACTCACAGCCTCTAGTTATACATGTACCCAGACCAGAGGCACAGTGCCCAAGGGATGGGGAAGATGAGTGGAAACAAGCATACTATCTCAATAAATATTTAATGATAAGAAAGAAGAGTTCTGAAATATATTTTAGGAGGAATTTAAGATCTATTAAATAATATTTACATACTACATTTAATGTAGAAAACGATTCATTAAAGCAAATGTGAAATTGCCTTAAATTTGTGTTAGAAGCCTATATAGCCCTCAGACTGATGTGAAAACAAAATCTTTAAGCAACAGAGAGGTTGTTCACGTAAAATACTTATCATAAACAGAGTAGATGTTGTATATTCTTGAACACGTCTGAGGCAGCAACAGGCTTTTTATTAGTTATTTTATAAATAAACAGAAGTAATAATGGAGTGTTCTGGAAGCAGGAGAGCTGTGAGGTGCCTAAATTATCAGGAAGTGTTGCCCATGCAGCTGAAAAACCATTGTCATGGTTGGCAAATATATATTGTCATGTGACTGTCCATTCGTGAAGGGGCAAGGAAAAAACCTACACACATATACAGAGACAATGAGAGACAGAGAGAAATGTGTCTTTGACACCTATGCTGGCTCGAAAGTCTTCTCCTCCAAAAACAACTGCGTCTAGAAAAAGACCCACTTGAGGTCCCGTCTTTAGTGCTTCTTCACACACTGCCTGTAAGAGAGCAGAACAGAACCAAATCTCACAGAAACGCACGATTTAGAGAGAAGCAGCACGGTGTATTTCGGTAACAGAAAGAGCCAACTCTTAACATAGTTTGGCTGAAAGCGGTACTAAAAATGTAACCCAAATTCACACCTTTCAAAAAGTATTTAATATGTCCAAGATAACTATGTTGTATATATTTGCTTTGCTTAATGGATTCTATTAATAGTTATTAATATCGATATAATGTTCAAATTGTAGTTCATCCAATTTCTAGAGAAATTTTGAGTTAACACATTTTGATTGTACTATAAGTTACTTCTATTTTTCCAAAATTTGTTTTTGCTTTAAGAGACTCTCAAACAATAAACATAAAACCACAGGAGAAAAGGAAAGAATTTTTAAATCAAACTAACTGGATTATTTGCATTAGGATCAAGATTTCTTAGTAAATGGTCTCAGGATTAAAGACATACAATACAAAAATCTACAACTCCAGAAGGGAAAATAAAAATGCAACAAGTCATCCCAGATGTATTAATAAGCAACTTCGACATTTCTATGTGAAAACAAAGATGAATAACATTCGCTGTAGACATAATGTGAATCCACAAACATGGAGATACAGCATGCTCATATACGTGGGTGGGAAGACAGGATACATCAGGAGAACCCAGTTGATTAATTTCAGGGGTTGTAAGTGCTTCTAAGTACATTATGGAATAAAATGGCGAAACAGCGCTTAAAATTGAATCGTATGAAGCTACCTGCATCTAAGGGATATGCTTTGATTATATTCTCAGAATTTAGGATGGACTGGAAGAATGTGTGGTTAGTGGTGTAAACATGCTGATCACAAGGCTTGAAGTAGCTCCCCAAACATTTGCACTCTGCCCCTCCTGCATGGTCCAATAGGTCTCAAAGTTTCCTCTCGGAGCATTTGCTCACGTACTCTCTCCCCTGTCCAGTTCAACTATCTCTTTTCTTTGTTTTTAGGGATTTCTTCTCTCCTGCCCTCTGAGATGGGGTGCTACATTGATGTTCACAAGTCAGGTGGAATGTGAGGCATATTTTGGAAAAGAATTGAATGATCACTGATAAAGGAGAAAAACTAGCTGTGAATTTCAGGCAAATTGTTTAGTACAACCATACGATGCTGGAAAACACTTGGCTCAGCTAATCTTCCTGAATGCATACTAGGAAATATTTTATGTTCTAATGTGGCAAATTGAAATAATTTACTACAAATTATTGGTGTATACTAACGTACAAATAGGAATCTTATCTACTAGACATTATGGATAATGTTGCTACAAAGAGGCCAGAAAATTTCTCAATAAAAGGCAATTGTTACAAAAGAATAATTGAAAGTTAATTCATAAAAGTGACAAAATAAATTTTCCTGTACATTTAATCTATAAATGTAATAATTCAAAGCACATACTTACATGATTATTTAATTAAAATTATTGCTAGGAATACATAAATATTTCATTTAAGCATTTAGGACTGGAGTGTTTTTCCTTGCTACTTAGCCAAGTTCTTTGTTTTCTATGCTCACAACCTGGTTTTGGATCATTACAGATAACAAATGGTGCTCAAGGTTTACTCTACTTATAAATCTTTCTAGAAAAATATTTTAAGTAGATGTTAAAATTGAAAACAAAAGTTCTCTTTAGGTAATAAATAAAATGCTAACTTATTAGCCACATTATGGTTTTCTTACCTTAAAATTGAGCAAACCCATTGCAGTTTCCACAAAAGGGATTAAATTCATTGGTTGTTCAAGTTTTCGGCCTTTTAAGTAGAATGAAAATTTGTCTGAAAACTAAAATCAAAAGTGTCATAGGTGATTAGTGGGGGAAAAAATGTACAATCAGTGAAATGTAGACACAGAAGTAGTATTTCAGTCTTTGACCTGAGGAAGTAATATCCCAGCCTCTTTGGTCCACACAAAAGAATTTTTAAAAACCCCCCAAATAAAAAACAAACAGGAGGAAAAACCAAAGAAAAGAAGGTAACCAAGTTCCCACTAAGCTAAATAGTAAAACCTCAAGCATTATAATTTTTTTTTCCTAAAGGAGCAATTTGAGGGCTAGGAGTTAGAAGTGAAAGGAGAGATTCTCGAGTTTAAATGCTTTCCTTGAAAACATATTTACTTAAGACCTCTTGCCCTCACTTGTTAAATGCAAGTGGTAGGCCCCCCAAACAGTGAAGTCTGCTCTACCTGCCATTCTGTTTTTGTTTCAGACCCAGCACTGACATCAGTGTAATGTGCAGCAGCCTCTACGTGGAATCCATAGTATTCATTATAGCACCATTATCCTTTGTTCAGAAGGCTTTTCTTCATAATTTTTTAGCTTACCTAGGAAGACCTTAAAAAGGAAGTTTAATTCTTTGAAGACCAAAGCTCGCCAATTTTTTCCATGAGACCAGTTCACAGCTAGCTCTGTGCTGCCAGTGGGGTAGCCCAAATTCCAAAATCTATCATCTGGAAACATACAAAAGCTGTTGCACAGATCTCCCCCCCCCTTCAAAAGGAAAAAAACCCACCACACTAAATTGTAAATCTATTATGTCTATCTAGATCTAATAAGATGTGGGGAGATAAAAAATAAAAAAAGCACACAGGTATGATAAAGATATTTTTGTAAATAAAGATGAAAACATATATATCCATTTTAAATTTAAGGAATATTTGGCCATTAATAGATATCAAAGGAAAAGGGAATTTTAATCATCTCTCCATTCAGTCTCAGTTGGGTAAATCATATCTAAGAGATTTGCATAAATATAAACCATCAAAGACTTTTCATCTTCAAAGGGGGTTTCAAGACCCTATAAGCTTTGTACTGTAATCATCGCAGGTCACCACCCTGCAGGAATAGGGCTGCTATGGCAACATAAAAAAACTAATGCTTAAGGCTTAGCATAATATTCTGACTAATAGAAAGGAAACTCATTTTAAAAGCTGGCAGCCTATTTACCAGAAGCAGGATTAGAGGTGTTATTTCCCCTTTTAGCTGCCCCCTCCTTGCCTGTGCGCTCCCCCCACACACAAAAAAATCTAATCACTGGGATCTTTAAAAAGCTTTTGAGCAATTTGCAGTAACTTTACAATTAGGCTAAAATAAATCACAGCTTTCAGTAATGAAGAATTATTCCCAGTTGTTCCCACTGCCCCCTCCCTTCATCCAACACCATCATCACCTCCTTAGTAACTTCGCAAGAGAAGGAATAACTCAACCAAAATAGCAAGAATGAAGAGAAGGCTACAATTTAAGGGGACAAAATATAGAGTATTGCATGTAAATGAAAATAAAACATAATTTATGTCATATTTAAGCTAGAAAATGGGTAGTGAAATATTAGTGGTTTTGGTGTTACTTATGCCAGTGGAGGAATTTTTTTTTCTCATTAAAAAAAACTTGCAACGTTACTTGCCCCATTCTTTGTGATAATAGTTATAACTACAAAAATCATAAAGTTTAAAACTGGGTAAACGCTTTACAATATATTCCCTGATCTTAGTCAGAAAAATCTCTATACTGTCTTTTGTTTTTAAGCCAATAGGGGCATTTAAAAATTAAACATTCTAGCCCATCCTCCTTCTCCTCCTCCCCTTCTTTCTTAAAAAATTGCATTAAGTACTAACACAAAAGGTAAGTAGTAGAGAAGTTTCAATTAATTTTTTCAAAAGGAGACGATTAAATGTTTCCGGCCTGGTAAAGTGTTCATTTCAGCGAGGTGGAGGGGACTGGGGACGGGGGGGAGGAAAAGAAGGGGGAAGAATCACAAAGAGATTGGGGAGGAGATGAAGTAGCAGGGCTCAGCAATTCTTTCAATTCCAGTGCACACCCAATAGTGTGTTGGAAGAATGCACACTGTTCGGGATTTGTGGGAGAATTGTCCCACGACAAAGGAGGCAGAGTCACGCTTGTTATAGTCCAATAAGCCGTGCCAGTCAAACAAGAACCCACACTAGCGACAAAAGGCCAGCAAGAGATTCTCACACAAAAGAAAACAAGGAAGCCCATCTTTCAGTTGTGCATCAGGCTCTGGGTTTTCTGCTTCACATAAATACAAACGGAGAGGAAAAAATAAACAGCCCCAAAGGCTTCTGTTAACTAGAAATCCTATTTAGATTTCGGTACGTTCCTCACATCCAAGGATTTAAAACAGCGAAAAGAAGCCATAGCTGAAGGCTGGGGTGGGTCCTCCGCTCTCAAATGAAGGGTAATAACGGTGATAAACAGGCATTAACTATGAAAGCAAAAGGGAACGGGTACTTCAGGTTCCATTTCAATCATCTTTAGACACATTCGAATCGGGTAGGAGCCCTCGAAGATATTAACGTGTATCTCCCAGCTCCTGTGGGGTGACCTTGGTGAGAACTCCCGTTTAGTAAGTAACTGGGTCCTTGAACACCCATCAAGAAGACTCCAACACGGAGCCGTCCAACAGAAATATAATGGCAGCTACATATGTAATTCCAAATTTTCTGGTAGCTACATTAAAAGAGTAAAATGAAACAGGTGAATTTAATTTTAATAATATGTATATTCAACCCAATATATCTGAAATATTATGATTTCAACATATAATCAATATAAAAAATTATTGAGATAATTTGCATTCTTTCTTGGGGGGTGGGAGCTACCAAGTCTTGAAAATCCTGTGTGTATTTTACACTTCCAGCACATCTCAATTTAGACTTGCCACATTTCAAGTACCCAGTAGCCATATGTGGCAGGCGGCCACTGCATTGGAAAGCACGGAGCCAACAGATCTACATGCACTCAAGGTGAGCAGTTTCCTCAGGTGTTACAGCCACTCAGTGTATTGCTATAGTTGCAGGCACAGCCTTAGAGATAATCCTAGATGTGGCATCAAAATCACACTTCCAGCACTTACATGTCACAGGCTCTCTGCCCTGGAGTGGCACAATGGAATGTTATTTTATTCAGCAGAGATCTGCAGAATCATAGCAACCCCTAAATAAAATCTAGCCTCCCCTCCTGCCCTGTAACAATTCAAACAATCATAGTATAATTAGGCCCATTTCAAAGTTTTCTTAAGTAATTTGACATGCCAACCACTTTACATTTCAGGTTTTTATTGGCTGAAAAGTCTGTCATAAAACACAAACACACCTGTCAGCAATTTAAAAAGGACGAATTAGAGAACTGCTCAGGAAATAATATCTGTGCTAATTAAAACCACTAGTTAAAAGCTTCCTGTTTATTCCTCTAGTTGCCCTAAGGAGTGACCTTTTCCTCTCCTTCTCTAGGTTCATTTTTTCATTTGAGGCTAATGTGCTTTTGCTGTCTATGATGATTTCAAACGAATCTGGGTGAGGGCCATTTACGTCACTGCTCCTCCAGGTGGAGGCCTCGGGTGAGGGCCCAGCAGGGTGAGAGAAGTGATCAGTCCAGGGATTGCTCTGTGAGCTCTTGAGGAGGCTGTTCTGTCCAAACCACAAATCTGACAGGGAGCAGAAGCATCATTTCAAGAGTAGAGTTGTTCCACAGAACACTTTACTTGGGTAAAGCCACGCTCTCCTGTGTAAAGGAAATGGTCTCTTGGGCTCACTCCTTTTTCTGAATTCCTTTTCTGCTCTGTGTATGCATTTTCAAAACAGACAGCACCCAAATTCTTCCTTTCTGCTACTCCTTCTTAGCCAGTGCAGAGTCTTTAATCAAAGCAAAGCCTTAGCTACTCACCCACTGGATTTCTTCAGGACCTTCCACCTTCGGTAGCATCAGGCTGGAAGGAAGGACCCGGGATTGCAGGAGGGTCTCCAGGTCTTCTTCGGTGAGACCACTGGACACTGAGTTGACTCTCACACACTTTTCAGTTGGGCCCAAATCAAAGTCTTCAAGAGTTTTTACTATTCTTAATCGAGCTTCATTCTATAAATGTCAATAAAATGTATCTCTTAAGTTTATTTCTCATTGAGAGGAAACACAATTGAACATGTTAATGTGGACTCACTCTGAGCACCATTACTATATCTACACATTTCCTATCCACCAAATACGTGGTATTTGAAATAAGTCGTCCAATGTGATAGGCAAGCGATTGATTTGCAGACTTCGTTCAAGATGACTATAACAGAGATGAGAGCCACTATAATGCGTACTGGTGGACTTCTAAACAGTAGTGTCTTGCTCATTAGCGTTACTTTCCAAGTGGAAAGGCAAAATAATTAATAGGTAACATTTATTGAGCATTTACTAAGCCTGGGCATGGTTCTAAGTCCTCTACCTGCATTTTCTCCTTTAATAAATATAAGAAACTAGATAACATACAGATAATGATAGTCTCGTATGTCAGCATATTCACATTAGCGAAAAAGTAAGGATTTTTCTCTTTCCACATGCTTCATGCTTTTTTACTAAAAGAAAATCTTTTTTTTTTTTTGCAACTGAGTTGAATCTTGACATTCAATTAAGCAGGTGCTCACAGGAAAATGACACTCCACACTACAAAAAAAGCTCCAACTTATTCAGATGGAAGGCAATAATATCACCAAGAAATCCCTTCATGAAGTGGTAGACAAATACATTTTTTTCTTTGATTTGACAGTCTTTTCTCCAGTTAAGAAAAGCTCAAGTGTTGAAAGTCTGCTTCAGTATTTGAATTCTCCCCAGAAAAACTGTATGGAACCAAACATGTTATTGATTGGCTTTGAGTTGGGGGGATGAAGGTGGGGAAGGGGGGGAGAGAAAGGAGTGCACTGAGGGGGTGGGGGTGGAGTCAAGAGAAAGAAAGCACTGGGAGTCTTACTTCCTGCCAATTTCAGTTTCAAAACCAAATTCCTCCAACTTGCCAACAGCCCTCAACAAATTCTCATTGTCAGAATGAACACTTATCAAAAGTAGTTTCATTTGGGAAGGGTTTTTAGGATACTAATAAAACTTTAAAGCTTCTCATTGCTGATGAATGCGGTTTAAAAAAAGAGTCTCAACAATATACAGCCATTTGAACAGCAATACTTATCTAGCAAAATAGCAAACCAAAACAGAGACAAAAAAGAATTATTTTTTGAGTCTTGTCTCAATTTTGAGTCTAAGTCCAATCCACATGCCAAGCCAGGACAGCAGATTTAAACCAGACGGATGTAGATCTACAACCCAGTGGAAGCAGGGAAGGCTTCCAAATGGGAGCTGAGTTAAACTGTGTGAGGAAACAGTAGCTTAGAGTTGTCAGGTCAGATGGAAACAGAGTATGTAGGACCAGTTTAAGACAGCTCTGTGGAGTCCTGATTTACAGAGCCTCGACTGCCAATAATCAGGCCAAGCTTAGACAAAAGCAAGAGAGAGCTCACACCAGCTAAAGTGAGGGATGATGCGGCCAACAGTGGCTTGGTTCCATACCATGCTGTTGGCCATTCCACTGCTGTAAAACTCAGCCACTTGCTCTACTGTGCCCTCTTGTTACATCCACCAAATATGAAAATCCTGAAGGTGAATAGCAGAAGTTAGCTCAATATCATAGTTCTAAGGCCATCTAGAGCTGTTCAGAGAAATGCTTCTAGCTCTCTGGCAATGTGCGTATTTAGATCAGTGGCCTCAGAGAACCTAAAATGTGTTATGCTCCATGTAGCCTGCACAGCTACAAGCTCGGGATTGCTCCAGCTTGTAAACATTTCAACTTCTAGAGTTCCTTTAAATAGCAGGTTGGCCTTGTAAAGGGTCTACTGGGACAGGGTGAATGACAAATTGAAGGGAACTAACTAGATCAGTTAGGCTGAAATGCATTTTAAAACCTGAGTTATTTGGATCATCATCTCTCTTCTCTACTTTAATCTGCGTGTGTGCTCAAGGACGCAGGATCCCTGGCAGCATCAACTTCGTAAATTGTTAATGTTGGTGTCAAACAAAATCTGACCTCTAAGCTGTTTTGTTGTTTCACTTGGATTTGGAGGGGACTGTTTGTTCAAATCTCGTGTTCTAAACCTGTTTGTGATTTTTATCTAAAGTCAGATTGCCATGGTTTCAGCACATTCCGGTTTACTTAGTAAAATTCAGCTCTTGTGAAATTGGCTGCAAACGAAGTACCTAATTCCAATTTTAGGCGTAATCTGATTAGTACTTTTCATCTTATAATAATGAGCAGTGAATACTCAGCATTTTACTAGACTTTTTTTTTTTCTCTTTTTGGCTCAGAATTAAAACCAAGCTCTTTCTACTTCATCACTCTGTACCTTTCCAAAAAAAGATGACGGCTTTGGAGGTATATTGCCACACAACACCCTTATTAACAGGCTGTTGCTTGTTGCAATTTACATAAACTAAGTGTGCATCCCTCTGCTATGTATCCCAAAATATCCAACAACTTCACTGAATTTACACCAGCCAACAAGCATGTTGATTTTTTTTTTTCTTTTTGGTATTTTAATGGTGAAATATGTTACTGTGCTAGCAAACACACCCATGCCATCTGTTGGGTGAGAGGAAGGCAGTTTCTAAGAACAATTAAGTTTAGTTCTGGGTGTTCAGCTAGGGAGAGCCACAGTCCACCCAGTTGTGAAAAGAAAGAAATTCTGTTCATTCTGTTCTCTCTCTGTCTTTCTCTCTCTCCTTCTCTCTCTCTAACACATACCTTACTTCTTGGTACCACCTCTCTCATCTCATCACCTCCTTCCCTTTCACACTATCCTTCTCTTTCTCTTTGGCTCCTGTTTCGCCCTGACCATCCTCCCAATTTCCATCTCGTTAGGGGGATTAGTAAAAGGCGGCCTGGCAGACTCCATCTTCTCAGAAGGGCTATCCAGGTGATCTGTTGAGATTATTGAGAGGTAAGTGCTCCCTGGAGCAAGAAGGAAAGGGAAATGAAAGCAAAAAGAGGCTGCTCAAAAAAGACCTTTTATTTTTTGGGGGGGGAGGGTGTCCAACATTCTGGTAGCAAAACAGGTTGTTCAAAATGAGGTTTAGAAGGAACTGCATTCTAAATGTGCTAACACTACAGGACGGCCTTGGTAGGCACGTCTCACTGTAGGATGAACTTGTCCGCCTAAGAACTGACAACCTGGAAAAGACGGAATAATGGAATTAAAGCCTTTATCAACAGTTACATTAGATCTTTGCAGAGACTAATTACCATAGTGTGTTCTATACCATGTTTGATTCCAGAGGGGGGCTCTGCAGAGGTCACAAAGAAAGTTGGCATAGATCAGAATCTTAACAGGCCCCTGTTCTAAAACGTGGTGTTACCAAAGTTCCCGCATTCAATCGATATTTCGTGCCATGGGCTGCTCAGTGCAGTGGACCAGTGGCTAATAAACTTGTCCTTATACATAAGCCACCATATTATGTGACTCTGTCTGGGCCAGGAACCAAGGCGTGCTATGATTTCAGAGACCGAGTTCTTATCACCTGGGGAAGAGACATGCTCTGGTGACGTAAGAAAGAGGATAAATCAACCATCACCACGACCTGCAGACTTCAAAATTAAAGGAGAAAATATGCGTGCAGTTGGTTCAATTGGCACCCATTAAAGCTAATAACTAATCATCCTCGCAAGTTTCTAGCTCAGAATGATCAAATCTGCAAAGAAAACAACATCCGTCCACTTTTACACTCCAGTGGAAGAGGTGGTCCCTCGCGGCAGGGCGGCACAGTCTCGCCATCTGGAGAATAAATCGAGTGTGAAGTACAGTATAGTTTGGGACCAAGCTCCGTGGCGGCAGCCCAGCAGTCAGTTCATTAGTTCCAAACTTCCAGGGATTAGAGCGGCATCAATTCTACTGTCGGATAGGAAGAGACAGACAGGATATGAGATTCAAGGAGGATTGTGACAACCAGGAGGAGCCCCTTGGGCTTATTTATAAAACCACAAAGTACAAACATACCCAAATAAGTGCCTTAAATGATAGCATTATCACAGTTTCATAACATCTGAATTAACACCTTTCCCTTCTTCCACTCTGCCACTGAAACCTTGTATGTTAATGTATAGTCATTTTCAGAGGAAATCACAAAGACGACCCTGGATGCCACAGGAGCAATGACAAAGCTATGCAGCCAAACCAAGATTTGGTAATTAAGAAATACGAAAGACTTTCTCAACTCCAGGGAGATTTGTGATTTTTAAAAATGTACAATTAATATTTTCATCCTACAAAATGCAAATTGGCGTGCCACATACTCAAAAACACTAGTGAGTTTTATTTTTTCTGAATTTGTCCATCTCATCTTATTTCCATTTTATCTTATTCATAAAATGATGTCACAGGCATGGAGTGGAACACATTTTGGGCAGAAGGCCTCGCTATCAGCAACTATATGAAAAATTTTTGAAAATTTTGAGATCGTTTGGTTTAAAATAAAAAATTCTGAGTGAATTGTTCCATTTAAGAATCTCCTTTTTCACATAGTAACTTCTTTTTATACATTTATATTAAAAAACAGAAGTGCTTGTGACATAAAACAGGTCATCACTAGTAACTTATTATATATTTCTTATAAATATATAAAAATTTATTATAATTACAGAGACTGTTGCAGTGACTTTATTGGAAAAAAAGGCAAATAAATTCTCCATTATTACAGCCTAGTAGTGTTTCTTTAAGCAAGGTGATAGTGTTGAGTTTTCTATTCCATTGTTTTTTCTGCATGACAAAGAAATCTTGGTTTGCTTGTTTTTGAAAAAAGAAAATCTACAATATTGAACATACCATGAGTTAACTGGTTTAAAATTTCATTCATTGATAACAACAAAGGCACAGGTAACAAAAGAAAAAATAGACAAATTGGACTTCATGAAAATTTTAAAATTCTATGCATCAAAAAACACTGTAAAGAGAGTAAAAAGGCAACTCACAGAATGGGATAAAATATTTGCAAGTCATATCTCTGATAAATAATTAATATCCAGAACATACACAGAACTCCTAAAACTCAAAAAC